GCTTTGGTCATTTTTCCATTGAGATCATTTGAAAAATTAAAATTTTATTGGGTAGCTCCTATTTAAAGACGACTCCATTTCTAGCCGCCTCAGCCACTTCTAAAATTAGGAGCACTTTTAAAGGCGGCTCAAAACAACAGCCGCTTTTACAAATATATTTCTAAAAAGGCTCAGTTTTGAAGGGCCACTGTAGAGGCGGCTTCTAAGAAAAGCCTCCTACAAATCGTTTTTTATAGTGTTCTTTGTCTGTACACCCAAACAGAAATAGGGCTATGAAGCTAGAGGAAGAGGTATAGGCTGTCTTCATGCAAATCTCTGAGTGTGCACAGCTCGTGAGCGTCCAAAGGCATATGAAAAGCTTTATTTTTCTTTTTAATTTGAACATGCTAGATCTTCCCAACTGTCACATCATTTTTCACTACAAATAGCATGTTTTACGCCTTGTTTAGTTGGACCCCAAAGTCCAAAAAAGTTACTACAATCTGTCACATCGAATGTTTGCGGCCCGTGCATGGAGCATTAAATGTAGACGAAAATAAAAACTAATTGCACAGCTTTAGTGGAAAATTGCGAGATTTAACGTTTTGAGCCTAATTAGTCCATGTTTGAACACTATTTGCCAAATAAAAACAAACGTACTACAGTAGCCCCAAAATCTAAATTCACCCAACTAAACAAGGGCTTAAAGAAGAGGTACGATGCTGGCATCTAGCGTTGTAGTGAGGCTAGTAGCTGCGTGTGGGTTCTGAAATGTTATGTGGCCATGCCCAACGGAGTTCATGTATAGTAAGGCCCTGTTTGGCATGACTTCAACTTTGGGTGGAGCTGAACCACTCCAGAACTCCGGGTGAAGCCAGCTCTGGGTGGAGTTGGAGCTGTCTAATGAGGGTGTTTGGTTGGGAGGGTGTCCCAGCTCCAGAAAAGATGAGTTTGAGGGTAGATTGCCATTCTTGCCACTCGTTCGATTTGAACTACTTCTCACAAATATGAAATGAAAGTACATGCAGTGGAGTCCAAAATAGTTTTCACATTTGTCAAGCCAGATTTTAGGATCCACGCCCTCAAACTTTGGAAATAGCATCTCAGGCAGAGGTGTATAGTTGTGGTGTGAATCAACAAAAGGCCTATGGTGACTGGGTTCAGTACGAGGATGAGGCTGGACACTGGAGAAAGGTCGCTCCTGTTGGGGAGGAATGGAAAACAGTGGAGATAGAGATCTTGGTGATTTGTCCTCTGTCTCAGCATCCATATGCTCTAAGGTGAGACGAGCAACGGCCTTTCCAGTGTCTTCGATTTGTTTAACCATCAACTGCTGATCATGGGAGGCCTGCTGCACATCTTGTGAGTTGAGATCCATTTTTTCCAGCAATTGCTGTTGCGTGGAGACGATGTCCGTCACATGATTTGGGGGCGTCCAGCTTTGAGAACCGCAAGTAGGCATTTCGTCGAACACCTGGAGGGCAAGGTGAAGTTGCCGCCCCTGAGTGCTCCCGAACAGCTCCCAAGTCGACCGCCGCCTGCGCCGTCACACACCCACGCTGAGGATCGACCTTCTCTGATACCAGCAGTAATACCGCTAGCCACTGGCGTCCGGCGAGGAGTCGGAGACGCGAGCTCGCAACCAGGGTGGGGGATGACGGGGAGGTGGGAGCAGTGGCGGATGGTGGAGTGAGAATAGGCCGACCGGCACGCACGACGGCGGCGGCATCGCATGGGACGACACAGGCTGCGGCACGGACGGGGAAGGTGGGGGTGGCGGCGGGGATGCGCCCTCCAGCCGTCGGGGGAGTGTGAATGGCGGCAGGTCGGCAGTGGCGGGATGAGGCAGGGGTTGCGTCGGGAAGGAGACGGAGAATAGAAAGAACGGACCGTTTTTCTGTGTAATCAGTGACAGTGGTGGGTAATTTCCCACCAACTCTACGAGGAAGTTCATATTGAGTGATTTTGGAGCTGCAAAAGAGGTGCTCCAAAACTCCACCTCCATTTGTACTATAGCTCCATGGAGTCGGCTGCTCCATAGAGTTTCGAAGTTGGGGTGGTTGGCTGGATTTTTTTATGGAGTTGCTGGAGTTTAGGAGTGGAGCCATGCCAAACAGACCCTAAAATATAGAGTATGGAGCAACCACAAATGTGTCAATTAGAACAGTTCATAGTACCAAAATATTACCTACCAACTAACTGAAATATTGTGGAACCTATCTATAGAGTTGTCCATAGTAAAAGCTAACCATAAGCTTAGGGACTACCCACAAGCAATGAATTGTTTCCCACTCCTCTCTCTCTTTCTTGTTGGCTGAAATGATGGAAGGTTTCTAGTGGGACTCTTCTAATAGACTACTTGTTGGCTAAACATTGTAAGAAAACAATAGTAGCTATAGACTGGTCATGTGGGTCTTATGCATATGGACTACTTGGTCCATATACATTGTGGATGCCCTTATGGCCACGGCCATTGGAGCAAATTAAGGGTGCCTTTGGTTGGACTTTATGGGAGCTGTTTTTGCTTCCAAAAAGCCAAAAGTCTGTCAAAGGTGTGAAAATTAGAAGCTGTTTTTTTTTCTGAAGCAGCTAGTACAGTTTTGAAACCAACTTGTGCTTTTGAAATGGTGAAAATAGAGAGCTATTTCACAGTTGTTTCAAGAATAAATAGCTTACAACTTTTCCACTACCCCCAACCTTAACAGCTTTTTCAGAAACTATAGCTCAACCAAACACATCCAAAGTACGGCCTCATTTTAGGCATATTGTGATTTAATTTTGGTGATTGGACAACAATATAATTATTGAGGTTAGTTTGTCAAGTATATATCTCAGTAGGTCTTATGGATACGCAATACAAGACAAGCTAGCAGGAACAAGGGTTAAATTGAATTGAAGTCGTGGGAACATCGTACACACCGGATTATCCGAGGAGGAAAAAGTACATGTTGGAGCATTGGCCTTTGTATTCTTGGACGCGGTGAATATTATTCAAGTGTTTGGAGATTATTGTTGATGCTAGAGAAATGGAGAAACACATGAAAGATTAGAATGCTGAATGGACCAATGTGAACCCTGGAGGCTTCGCTGGACTTTGATCTAGAGATGTGCAGCACAAGTTGCAGACCTGCATGCTGTATCCACTAAAATTTCTTTTTGGGTGTGCAACAGTTAAGTTTGGCGTGGTGTGCATGCATGCCCGACGCTGTAAAGACTGAACATGCATGTTAGACACTTGAACAACTGAAGCAGCGATTGAGTGGAGAGACGAAGTGTTTACATCGAAATGGTTCCAGCACGTGGAGGGTAGTCAAGACGCTTGGCTCCGTTTGGCAGAGCCCTCGAGTTGATTATCTGTTGAATTCAGTTTTTTAGAGAAAAGTGATTCTTTGTTGATTCTATAAAGTGATTATCTAAAATAAACTAAGAGGCTGAGAGCTGAAAAATAGCTTCTCTTAATTATGTGAAGTGATTCTCCATCGTGATTTTAAGAGTTTATGCTAAAAAATCAAAGAGAATAACTTTGAGCCACAAGATCACTTCTCTCGGAGAATCAGCTCTCATAGAGAATCAGAATCAGATGGAGCTCTACCAAACGGGTCCAGATCATCCAGTATTCACAAGTGTGTGAGTTAGTAGCTAGTTGAGACCAAGGTTCAAAAGACACATTGGATCTTGACGCTTGTAAAAGAAAGTTTTCCATTGGCGAAACGACTAGTTTGATGCCAATCCTCCCCCGCTCGATCATTTGAGATTGCTGGATCCAAAGGTTCCAAAGTAATAAAAGTGATCATCCAAAGGCAATTGGACAAATAGTGCTAGAATATCAGTGTGGAAAGCAAACTATTTTTCATGTGCCAGTCCTTCTCATAGTGAGCATGAATAATTGGAGGGGGGTTATCCTCCTTCCAAACGACTACTCCAGGTTTTGATGCAGACTGAGTAGAACCTTGACAGGACTTTAGGCCTTGTTTGGATGTTATCGGATTCACCTGAATTCGCATGTGTTGAGGTAGAATTTAGTTCAAGTTCCACTCTAATCCACTCCAAAACACATATGGATTGATGTCAATCCGACTACATCAAGCAAGGCCTCATATGGGAGCACATTTACGATTAGGTCCAAATCCAAACCTTGGGATCTGAAGTGTAAGCATATATATAATTAATTTAATTTCCCAATCAATATGATGGTATTGGGTATGATCATGAGATCGATCATGAGATATGACGATTAGGTCCAAATCCAAACCTTGGGATCGGAAGTGTAAGCAAGCAGTAATTAAATCTAGCTAGACAATAATGTTCTCTGCATGCAACTGATGAGTACAAACCATTTGTGTTACAGAGAGTCCCTTGTTTTTGCCCTAATTAAGCCGAGAGCATGGCACAGTTGCAGGCGATGATTGAGTTCCAGTGACAAACGTACGGGTGATATGGAAGCGAAGCCGCCGAAGCGCCGACGTCCCTCCCTTGGATTCGACCTCCTCGATCACACCTCTCTCCTGGCCGATCGGACCGCCTAGGAATAACGTGTGTTGCACTGCAGCCGACGTGTTTTACTGTTCCCCTCCGATCTATAGCTCATCTATCTCTTTGCACTGCACCCTCGGTCCCTCCACATCTCTCTCTCTCTCTCTCTCTCTCTCTCTCTCTCTCTCTCTCTCTCTCTCTCTCTCGTGCGTGTGTCTGTGAAAGGGATCACACACGAATGATCTACACAGCCTAGGCACCTCCCTCCTTGTCCCTTTATAAAAGGGACATGCCTCCCCCTTTCGTTCATGATCGCTAGTTCGCTTGCCTTTTGATCCCTCGCTCCAACAAATTGCCATTATTCCGACATACACACAGCACCAGCCGCCGCCGCGGCTGCTGTTCTCCTCCTCCTCTCTCCATATCTCTCATCTGATCTTCACTCATCATCACCTAGCTATATATACGAGATCCTGCTAGGTCGTCCATAGCTCTATCCAGATCTCGAGCGCAAGCAAATTCCTCTCATCAGTCCCTAGCTAGCTCCCATGTCTGCCATCTACATGAGCCAGCTCTCCACTGCCCTCCCTCTCATGGAGGGAGATCATCACCAAGATCATCATCATCACCACCACCAAGGCCACTTCCAAGCCTTCACGCTGCCAAAGGATCCCCCAATCCTTTTTCCCTTTGTGATCAGCAATAGTAGCGCCAGCGAAAGCAGTCTAAGCTATGGATCGGCAGACCATCACTTGTTGAGGCAGCATCGTCATCAAGCTATGCTCGAGACCCAACATGTACGTGTTACTTAACTGTACAATAGTATGTGTTCAATTTCCCAATCATATCTTCACAGATTTAATTTCGTCACTCATGCTGCTCTTTTATAATTTCTGTTATATATATCAGATGATTGGTGGATCATCAGCTGCGAGTAGTGTCTTCGCGACGCCGTTCCCGACTATGGAGAGCATCCGTGACGACATGATCGAGCCTGCCTCGTACGATCCATACGATATGGGGAAGCTGCACCAGGTGGTCGGTGGCGGGTCGATGGATGCTTGCAGCTGGACGCCGCCGGCGGCCAAGATGAGGATCACGAGGAAGGCCACTGCCGATCCCAGTGGTGCTGCGGGGAAGAAGCCGAGGAGAAGGGCGCATCAGGCAGGGTACGACGCCGACATGAACATGAGCGGCCAACCAAATTTGGGTGTTATTAGGGTGTGCTCCGACTGCAACACCACCAAGACGCCCTTGTGGAGGAGTGGTCCTTGCGGCCCCAAGGTATCTTTGTTTGTTGCCTCTTGCAATCCAACTCGTACTACGTGGTGTCGTGGTCCTTGCACCATGTATATATCAGTACGATTAATTAGAGAGAAGAGATTCGTGCTGCATATATAATTATATTATTGCAAGCCAATGACTGTATCTTGTTTTTGCATGGCGCAGTCGCTCTGCAACGCGTGCGGTATCAGGCAGCGGAAGGCGCGGCGGGCGATGATGGCCGCCGCCTCCGGCTCGGGGCCAGCAATGCCCACCGACAGCGGCAAGGCCTCGCCCAGCAACGCCGCCGCGGCCGCAGCAGCACACCCCAAGGTGAAGAAGGAGAAGAGAGTGGACGTGGACCGGTCGCTGCCGTTCAAGAAACGGTGCAAGGTGGTCCAGGTCCAGCAGGATCATCACGCTGCGGCCGTCGCAGCTCCTGCCGCTGCCACTGACAGGGCGGCTGTCGTCGTGCAGGCCACCGCCGCCGAGGTTGGTGACGACGACGCCTGTCCGAGCAGGGACCTGCTTGTCGACGACATTGGCGGGCTCATCAGCTGGAGCAGGAGTCCGGCGGCTCCCGCATCTGCAGCTGCTGCCTCCTACAGCTTATTCCGGGCGTCGCCGGCGTTGCCGGTGCAGCAGGACGAGATCACGGACGCTGCCATGCTGCTGATGACGCTGTCCCGCGGGCTTGTCCGGAGCTGATCGACGATCGATCTACCTCTACAAAGGCCCCAGCAGCGTAGGCTTTTTGCAGCTAGCTACCTAGCTAGTGCCTTTGACTGTTAGCGTTACTGTTAGTGTGTTACTGTTAGTGGTGTTACCATCGCCGTCTACCGTACGACCTGTAGTGTTTTTTATTTGGCTTCTTGTTCTTGTTGCCAGTGTAACCCGTGTCACTGTTCAAGTCATGTGATTCGTTTGATGAGAGAGAGAGAGAACTAGTTGAGATGATATATTGGAGCGAGAAGATCACGAGTGGAAGTGATGAGGCAAAATCGTGATTATCATCTCTAGCTACAATAGCCAGGACCGCGATATGATTGCATGTAGTGTGAGACCGTGAGGTGTTTCAGTTTTGAGCGCACTAGTTCCCCCCCCCCCCCCGATGCTGTGGCTATAATCTGGTCAATGGCTGCTATTGTTATTTATTCTTCGTTTTGGTTGAGTTTCTTGTAAGGGAGTTACTAATAATGGCAATCTGGAGACATATCGATGCAAAGCGTGCTTGTGTTCATCGCGACTCGTTCATGACTTTTGCTTCTGATGGTTCTGTCAGTATGGTCTGCTTTGAGCTGCAGTATATAAAGTTTTTGTCAGCTTGTCTGGTGGTCTCCATTTCACTGGTTTTCATGCAACATTCTCCTAATCTCCTTTATCATATGCCATCTTGTCAGGACTCAGGTCAAGATCCTGATGGAATCTGGAAGTGGAGTAGAGTTTAGGGGAGAATTAGCACGAACAAGATAGGTTCAGAGAGAAACGCCGAGAGAGATTCAGCGTTTCTATTTTTCTTTAGCTGGAGAGACTTCGCCTAATCCCTGTATCTTCTGGAATTGTAATCACCTCGCTGTCCTCTCTATAATATCTCCAATTTGCAATTCATGGAGAACGGGTTCGTTTCCACTTGAGGACTCCAATCTCTCTGTGGCATTTGAACTTGTAGCTTCAGATGAATCGGTTGGTGTTAGCCAATTCAAAGTTTGTTTGCCATCAAGACTAATTGAATTCAATTGGTCAATTTGTTGAGCTTCAGGAAATCTCAATCGCCCTTTATTAATGACCGATTGGATCACTTGACAAAACATATTGCAATTAGAAATATTATGATCAAATGAATTATGTCACTTGCAATATGTAAGCTCTTCTAAGTTTGGAGGTGATAGCAAAGCTTTGTGATCAACGATTCTAATAAAATTATTCTTCAACAAAATATCAAAGACATGATCACAAAAGTAAAGTCAATAGTGTACTTGATTTCTTTAACCAACTCTTTTGTGGAATCAGCTTTAAAGCTAGGCAAACAAATGGGTTAAATTTGACAACAATCCATTCAACCACACATTTGCACTTGTCTTTCTTGCCAGATGTTCTATAATTGATCATAAAACCAACATCGGCATCTGCAAAATTTCTCAATCTTAGCCCTGAATCATTAAACCCAAAATAATTATAGAATTTGTATCTCATTTGGGACCAAGTATAGAACTGAATTTAAAGCAAGTAAAGCAACCCACGTAGATATAGAATCCAAGATGAACATTGGAGAAAGCTTTAACGTTGACAAAATATTGTTATCGGTCTCTTGATAAGGCATAATATGATGGCAGATACAATATAAATTTATTCCATCATCAACAATTAAAATACCTTCTTCAATTAGTGTCTTAACACTACTAGCAAGAGCATCGCTAATAGATGTAGCAATTGAAACAATATGACCAAATTGGGAATTTGGTAAACTACTTATACTCTGTACCTTGTTGATCGTGTCGGAGAAGTGCAGGTCCCTGATTTTAGTGTTGTTGCCCCTCCTAGCACCATCATAAGCCACCAACTGCTGGCACTCTGACACTATCTCCTTGTCTCCAGGGGTTTCATCCTTAGTGACTCAGTGTTCTTTGTCAAGAAAGAGTTGATTCGGAATGAATATTGTTTTGTTCAGTTTTATCAGCCGAACACTCGCTTCTATCCGAATCAACTCTTTCTTTGCCAATGGTGTTAGCTAACAATGCCTTTCTTCTTGCATAATTCTGACTTCACTCTCATCAGGATCTCGATACTCTTGACCTTTCAACTTTTCAAAATAGTATTTATCAAATTTCCTAGTCCTAGCATGAAAAACATCGTATGTTCCAGCAAAATAAAACCACCACTTAATACTCCCAGGTTTAGAGAATAAATCGTATGCTACACTGTTGGTTGATGGCACATGCATGCTTGCTAAAATTTCACTAATTCGGCTATGGTCATGAGTTAAATATGAAGACGAATTGTGATAATTGATCTTTGCATATGGTGTTGAATTTTCATTGATTCGGCCATGGTTATTGGTAACATATGAAGCCGAATCATGAGTATTAATTAGCACTTACATATGTTGCTGAATTTTTTTTGATTCAGCTATAGTTATTAATAACATAGGAAGACAAATCGTGAGTTTTAGCAGCACTAGCATGTCTTGGCGAACCAAGTAAATAAGGAGCGGGGGCACGTGCCCCACTCAAATTCTGGGTTTCAAAGAAAATATGTCTTCTTTCGTGTAGCTGTAAGAAGACGATCGCACCATAGCAGCGTGCACTAAGGGACAGGGTGTTGAATGTCGGGCGACTAGGACGTCAATGAATTAGAACTGCATAATTATTATGCGATTATGGTGCTGATATATACATATAATCAACTATAATAAACTAACACAATTAACTTATACTCATACTACATCTGCATGGTGGCAGAGTGGAAGGTCACCAAGGACATAGCGGCGGATGAGGCGGAACGTTGGGCATCCTCCTGCCTGGACCTAGAGTGTGCCGCCACGGGCCTCTAATCCTCTGACTCCGACAGGATCTCCACCTCGCCTTCGGCCGTGTAGTAGTTTGGGGAGGTATCTGTAGCCGTTTAGTAGTTCGGGGAGGCTTCAGTCACAGCACATTGGAGCTGGCGAAGACGCCAGCCTCTCGAAGGACTGCCGAAGAGGAGGGGACGCCGGGACTTCTTCCATTGTTGATAGTAGTTCAAGACACTCACTAGGAGGATGAGCGCAAACATGACCCCGCGGAGCTGACGAGGAAGATTATCACGCCTTGTGGAATGTGCCCGCTATGAGGCTTCCTACAATAAAAAGTGAGATGATAACTAATTTGGTAGACAAGGAGGGGTGCACGTGCCCCCCACTCATTTTGAAACAAAATTACACATATCTTAAAGCAAATATAACTAATTGACCATTTTTAATTAGAACAAAATCGGTATAATGTATCGCTAGATATACTATGAGATAATTTCCAACCAAAGCAAACTTGAATAATTTACCGTCTTGTTATTACTAATTAGAGGCCCAAACGGAGACACCACGTTAATTGTCGCCAAACACGCTAGACAAAAGAATTCTCATAAATCAGAAGCATCTAGTCTTTAATTTGGTAGATTCGAATCATTATACCCATTCCTGTTAGTAGTATTTAATTTTCCCCTCCCACTACCCATTCCTGTTGGCCCCCTACTGTGGACTACCTAAAATTTTCTTTCTCCACGACTTCTTCCCCCGCGACTGCCCCCAGCCCTGGCAGCTTCCCCTCCTGGTGGAGTGGCCCTGCCTGACAACCCACCTTCTCCAACCAGCGGTGCCTCCCCGGCCCTCCTCAGCGCGGCGGTGCTGCCCTGGCGGCTCCCGTGGGCGAGCTCCCGGCGGCTCCTGTGGGCGGAGGTCCTCGGCGCGGCGGGCCTGCCCGCGTCATAGTTGTGCTGCCCCAGCGCAGTGGTGCTCCATCTCTCTGTTCCATCCATGGTGAGAAGAACATGAGAGAGGATGACTACTAGGATGAGTTTAGGTGGCCTGGTTAGGTAGTACTGCTGGAGTTGGAAGAAAAATGGGCTCCATTGAAATAGGGGCTACCCAAGCAGACAAGTAGGGTGTCTGATTTGGGTAGCATCGCTGGAGATGCTCTTAGAGCCAGTTTGGCAAACCAAACACTTAAAATATATCTGGATTCTGGTGGAAAGCTGACAAGAGTCACTTCTATATTTACACACTAGAATCACTTCAGAATCGATTCACTCTTCCACCAGAATCAATTCATCAAAGAATCGAGAAGTGAAACTTAAGAATCATGAACATGTTTTGCCAAACTAACCCTCAGCCTCCGCGTTGCCAAGCCAGGCAAACGGCATCGTGCTGGCTCGCGGCTCGCCTATGGCACCATGGCGAGGGAGAGAAACAACAGAAGAGAAAAGAAAAATAATCACTAATTTGGAAGCAAAGGGGCACACTCGGTGACGGAAAACCCTCCATAAAGAACTAAAAATGGTTATTTAAATGATATCCCCATGAATTTCTCGCCCTAGAAAAAGTCATGGATCCCAAAAGAATTTGAGTTTCTAAACTAGCCTAAGAGAGATTTATTTACCACGGGCATATGAGTCCCCCACCTATAGAAAGGATTAATCTTTTTAATAATCTACTATATATATATATAGAAAGGATTAATCTTTTTAATAATCTACTATATATATATATATATCTTATATTTTCAAACCGCACTAGCAATTTATCTTGCCATACAAAGTGTCCACATCAGTATCCACCAGAACAACACACTAGCAGATGCAGCTATCTCACCATGCAAAGTGTCCACATCAGCATCCACTAACACATCCAATTAACACATGTCATTATGTCTTCATTCAAGCTATTCACATTAGCAAACCACATCATTTACTAGCATATATATATATTTAGTTGTCCACATCCACTAACCTATAGTATTACGATATTTATTTATTCATAGTAGTAAATATAAAGAGTATAATTTCATGTACTATTCCTGCAACAATGCGCGGGACGTTCTTATAATATCATCTATGCTCTACAATTTACTAGTTTTCTCAATCTGTATTTTTAACATTTCAAAAAAAAGATCTGGATTTTTAAGGAAAGGTGAAAAAGAATACCCTTTCGCGAGGTGTCTCTGTCTGTCAATAAAAAA